AGCTTTGGTTGCCTCTACTCTGTGGGAAGTGTAGATGTCACAGGGTCGTATGTAATGGTGACCTTGTTTCAAAACTGTATATGCCCCTGTACCTGCTGGAGGAAGTACCTGCATAGGCTTTATGGATGGATGTGTCAGAATGACATCCGTCTCTGGATCGTACCTGAACTGTTTGCTAGAAGATAGTTTGGACTAAGTATCAGGATGACATCTATCTCTGGATCGTACCTGAACTATTGCTAGAGGATGATCTGAATAAGTGTCAGGATGACATCCGTCCTTAGATCATACCTGAACCGTTTCTAGATGAGAATCTTCTTTATTCCGAATGTTTTCGTTGGGGAAGGGAAACTGTAATTCTCTTGGGGAATCTCGAGAAGCTTGGCGAACTCATTGGGGAATTTTCGTTGGAGCAGTAATTTGGAGATTTTGCTCTGCCGAGGGTATGAGAGCACCTGACTTCACTAGGTTGTAAGATGAGAAAATGGCGGTGACCTTGTAGTAGAACTCCCATGTCTCGATACCTGTTGTAGAAAATATCAACTGAGGATTTTGTAGATGGTTTTACTGTTATCCTAACTCTTGGAGTTCTTGGTGAATGCATATCATGGTAATGATCCTTTTACGGATTAGACAAGTGACAAGATGACGGGACATAGTCGTACGCTTTAATCCCTAACTTTTTCCTAGACTATCTTTTCAGATTTTCAATCCACCGGGATACCCTTTTTTTCCTAAGCCGCCTTTTCAGGTTTTCACCTTGCCGAGTGTACAATTTTTTTCCGTTTTTATCCCTAATTTCTGCCCGAACCCTTTTGGTTCGCCGGGATGCCCTTATTTTTGCCTAGGCCAGTCAACCTAGCGGGTTTTTTTTTCATGCGTAGTCTTTTCTGACTATGTCCATGTTCACCGGATGCGGAGAATGGTCACTATCCTTAGTAGTAAGTGTTGTCCCACTTCCAGAAGGTGTTTGTTTGATCGTACATGATTCATTGCTGGAATTCATGTCCAATGTCCCAAGTGATTCAGATGGAGATTTGCCCCTGGCTATTTGGCATTTTTGAGAGATTCCTTGAATCTTGACTTGACTGCCCCAGATGATGGACGATGATCATGTTGTGCCCCTTGGTTGGAAATGTTTTTCCACTTGAGGTGATCCTTTTCATTGAGAAGGTTTTTGTTCACCGAATATTCGTCGTGTGAATTTCTCTGTTGTTGAACAAATAGTCATATGCAAACAATGGTATTTTAAGAATGCAAAGCTTATGTCTGTCTTGAAAAAAATTTTGAAAATGCAATTTTTTAGTAAAACAGATTTTGCAAGAGAGTGATATCAGCTCGTGATTTATGGCAAACCTTACAGGAGTTAGGATACATTTTGTAACTGTATGCTTTCGAACTAACCCATGCTTCAGCTAGGACTTTTAAGGGTTATAACGTGTCATGGTTCACGGTTCAAGAAATAAAGGATAAAGGCTCAAAATTTATTTGTACCCACCGCTCTTCGTGATGTTCTTCAGTCCAATGCTCAGTTAATTGCGCATTTAGAATCCCAGTTGAGTTCTGGAGTATTGTCCTTGATGTTCCGGTGATGGTTCGGATACTGAAAGTTTATTTGAAAGAGGAAGTCATTTTTGTAATCTTTTATTTATTTATTTGTAGTAACCTCTTTTTTTGGTTTTCGTTATCCCTTCTTTTGCCTGAACTGTTTCTTTTGTGATTACAGTCAGCGAGATGCCCCAGTTTTTTTTCTTCTTAAGTCTCCTTCATAGGTTTTGACTTAGCGGGCTATTATTTTGAGAGATAATGACTGCCTGTTTTAATGATTATGCGGAACCATCACCATCTTCTGATTTGGAAGGACGTCTTCGATTGTGTACGAAGCGGAAGATTGTGACTGAATGCGCACCTAAATTAACTGAGAAACTACCCTGCCCCATGTTATGATTTAGAGTTTTAATTTGTGTGAAAATAAAAACTCCTACTTCTTTGGCTCAAAGGGGTTGACTAGGGATTATCTTCCTTATAACTCCACTGTTTAGGATTTTGAAACAATGCTTGTACATCGTCAATGGGGTCTGTTCAAAAGCATATTGTAGAGATTGTGGTATCATTCTCATCATTCTCCTTCTAAATGCTTAGAGCTTTTGATCGAGAGTTGAATATCACAAAAAGGGAAGCAGTTTAAATATAGTGAATATGAATTAATTGATTTAAAATAGACATATGCAATGCATTGATAAAGTAAAAGGGTTTGACATGAATAGATGTTCGAACAATCAAAAGAAAATTACAAATTGAAAATTCTAATGAACAAAAGCCTATTTGCCTGAACTTGTCACTTCAGATGGTGTGTCTTTGAGGGATGGCAGAAGAACCCAGCCTGACCATCTTGTGTAAACTCCAGCACCCCTTCATAAATCAAGTTTTGAACTTCATATTTCAACCTCCAACAGTCGTCAGTGTCATGCCCCGGGCTGTTGGAGTGGTATGCACACCTTGCATCAGGATTGTAGTTAGGGGACAAAGTCTTGAGATTCAGATGAGGACCTATCAACGTAATCAGATTCATCCTCAACAGGTGTTGCAAAGATTGAGACATGTTGAGTTTGGTAAACTGCCTTTTGGGTATATCTGGCTTACTCTGATTAACCCGTTGTTTTTGGCGAGGTTGTTGTTGGACCCGTGATGTGGTAGCAATTTGGAAAAGTCCACTCTTAACCAAACCAGCCTCTTGTCTTCTTGGAAGTTGATCAATGACTTGGTCCCCAACCTTGACCGTTTTCTTCATATGGTTGCAGCCATCTTGATGAAGTTTCTTGATAATGGCTCTCAACTCTTCTTGTCCCCGAGCTAGGCCTTAGATAAGAGCCCCCTGCCCCAGCATCTGGGTTCTCATTGTTTCAACTTCAGCCTGCAGTTGTTCCAACCGTTCGTCCTTATTGTCTTCAGGACTTTTCTTGGCCAGGTTCACGGTGAGGAGTGCTTTCAACTCTTCCTGCCCCTTGGATAGGTTTAGGAACATTTCCATGAACTGAGCTTCTTGAGTTTGGAGATCTTTGTTGTCTTGTTTGAGAGCCATTGCTGAAATAAACAACGAAGAAGATGAGAAACATGTACTGAAGATTACCTGTTATGTAATGACATGTATGATATGCAACGGTTTTCAAGGATCTCGCGGGGTAAACAAGAAAAATGTTAGGCGTTGAACTTTACAGCTTTGATTGAAGCACTTTGTATCATTGAAGGTCCTTCTACAAGAGTCAAGCTCACCATATCAAGTGGGTCATAGCCCCTGACTCAAGTTATCGTGTTTTGATATTTTGACGATATTGGCTAGAGGAAAATAAATCCCCTTGCCCCTTGCTAGACGTATGGTTCATCATAACCTGCATCACAGGCCCTCGAGATCCTTGAAATAGTTAGTATGATATGTCATGTTATGATGCTATGATGTGTATAATATGCATCAAGCAAAAATGCAGGGAAAGAAACCAATTTATTGGATTTATACAAATAAGGTCCTGCAAGGAATACAAACAAATCCCTGCAATGAGTTCAAATTGTTAGGAAAAGAAAGCAAACAAGTCACACAAGTAGCCTTACGTTTAGGCTTGCATGGATTCCATAGGTAAGTACCCTCTTGAAGTTTAGTTGGCTCAACCTGTCTTAGAAACAGTAACCGGGTTTTAAGGATTCTCAATATCACTGATCATCCTTTATCGGACATTGTTTCAGCTCAGGCAATCTTTTCTTGCGGCCGAAATATCCCGAAAGTTTGATCTCAATGAGTGTAGCATCGAGTATCAACCAATCCTTAGATTTATACCGAGGCCGGCTATCTCACTACTTTCTAATGGCCAAGTTTGTTCAATTAAGGTTCTAAGGTTTGTTAGTGCTTCACGACACCATGCGGCGGCCCCGTATTCTCCTCGTTTCAACACGAAGGATACCGGTACCAACCAAAGTGTCACACCAACACAGGCATCGCTTAAACCACATCGGTCTACGTTGTACAGTATCCACGATCTATTGTTGTTTACCTAAAAAGTGTTCCCAAATACGGGTGTAGGATCTTCAACAATACCCAACCAAAAACCCTTAAAGATAAAACAGGAAAAACAAACAAGAAAGCAATTTAAAATGACCTAGATCCTAAGGTAAACCCCACTTTATTAATTGTCCCCAGCAGAGTCTCCAGTTATGTGATACGGTGGCAGAACCGGCTGTTATACTAGTTTGCATTTTTTGTTTACAAATGTTGCGGTAAGCAAGAGTCGCCACCGACTTTTATTTCATCCAACAAAGGAAAAGGAAAAAGAACAGAAAAAACCTTTTTGAGATGTTTCTGAGTACGGGGGGTAGATTATAGAAAGGGAAGGTGTTAGCACCCTTTATATCCGTGGTTTTCCACGGGCTCTTAGGTACTTGCTGATTTTGAAATTGCTTGTGTGTGTTTTGAAAAGTTTTTGTTTAACTTCGTGATAACCCTTGTATCTGTCCTCAAGAGTGTGACGAAGTTTTTTTTTTAAAACTATTTTGAAAGTGTTTGTGAAAAAGAGTTTTTATTGTTTTGAGCAAGTACTTAAGAGTTTCTACCTACTCGAAAAAGATTGTTCATTTTCTCGTTTCCTTTAGACAACTCTATCCTACTATTAGTGAGTAGGTAGCCCTATTGTTGGATGTTGAGAGACTATCGAAAGAGTCCACCGCCTGCCTTAGTAGTCTCAAATAGGGCGTGCAGGCCTGCCTATTTTTTTAGTAGGTGATTCACTACCGAAGAGAAGAAAAGGCTGGATCAAGAAAAGGGGGTACTACGAGCCCTCTGCCCCACGCATCTAACCAGCTCGCGTGGTTCACCGGTTCCACCGACTAGACTCTTAGAGTTATTCAGTCGATACAGAGGTGCGCTTGAAGTGGGGGGTGTGCTGTCCCTATTGGGCTGGGGCCTTCCCCATAAGGCCCCACCGTCGGGGCATAAGCGCCCTCTTGCTACCCATATGCGAGGCGCCGTCTTAGCCTTCCCTGACCAGGATCGCTCCCACACCTGTAGCGTTCGTGATCGGCCTACTCAACTGTGTATCGATCGAAAGGCAGGGCGGCACAGCCCCCAAGGGAGTGGTTACGTCCAGTATGTCCCCCCTTCTTCCCGACATGCTATGGTGCCCCCCGGGGGGGTAGGAGCGGGTCGAGTCCGTATCGCCGCGGAGCAACAGCCCCGTCCGGATCTGATCTATCTACTCGACAATTCATCCGGTGACTTCACGGTCGCCAAAGAAGCCCCAAGAAGCATCAAACATTTCCGATGAGATCCATGGAGCAATTCTTAGATAGCAAGCACTAGCTCCCGGTGCGACTTCATAAAAAGCAATCAAAGATAAGATCGAAGAGAATGAAACGCACGTAGTGGTCATTATAGCGGTTCCTTCTGATCCTAGAAAACATCCGAAAAAACCAGCTACGGAACTACCGAGCAGGGGCAAAAATACGATAAGTAGATACATAATTTCGAGTGTGATCAGACAACCAAAAATCAGACAATGACAGAGCAGCCTGTAATAAGTGCCAGACCCTCAACAAAAGAATGGATTAAGGTGATAGAGTGTTATCAGGAGACGCTAGGTTTCGCTTCGGAATTTAAAAAAACTGCACTTTTTTCGTCAGCAGATTTCGCTCATCAAGTTATTGTTTGATCTGCCGCTGTTAGAACACCACAATATTCGTCCTTTTGGGGTTAATGCTCTCAATGGTGAATCGATCATTCGATATCCTCCTTTTTTTCCTTTTGTTGTGAGAACGGAATGGAAGAAAAGTAATGAAACCCGCGATGGCTACTGAATAACCTCCTTTGACTTTATCAATAATAAAGCCTTTTACCTTTGTATTCATTCGCCAAATCTTGTTCAGTTTCATCCAAGCTCGGTTTTGTCTGAATCTTCGTGGAAGAAGAAGAAGCGGTTCACCGGCCACTACATCTGTGGATCCCACCAAATCATTAAACCTGGCGGCTGCTCGCTATTTGATCAGTGATTCGCCGGCCACTAGATCGATGAATAATCTCTCCAAAATCTTCTTTTTGATCAGTGATTCACCGGCCACTAGATCCAGGAATCCCACCTTATTATCAAACCTGGTGGCTCGGTTGATTGGCACTCCTGTAGGCTCATCTTGCATACAATTTCTGGGGGTCCCAGGTCCTGCATCCACCAAGAACATTTCTTCCCCTAAGCGTAAAACTTCAGATTGTAAGGCCTTTCCACTACATAAGAATAAACTTGAATTACATCTTGGAAATGATCGACTCAAATAGATGCTCATCATAAGCTTTTTTTTCCTCCTCTTCCTGTTCTATTGATCAGAAGCATCCAGCAGCGCCACGCCAGTAGAAAGAGTTAAGCTACTAAGCTAAGTGTTGTGGAACTCGGTAGAAGCGATTTGCCGCTTCCGCCTCTCTAGGCTTCACAATGGCTCCCCCCCCCCTATATAGATAGAATTTTCAATGAGTCTTCTCCCCTCAACTATAATTAATATAAGAAATCCGAAAGGAATTGAAAATTCCGAAGGATTACCCTTTTGTTTGAGCAGGGGGCTTCGAGTCCTGTGTTGACAAAGATCAGATAGGATCCTGCTGTGATCCTTGATCTCTTCCTTAATATTGATCATCGTTCTATCGATAATTCAATTAAAGATCGAGTAAAGGGAGAATGCTTCTTTAAAAATAAACTAATCAAGATAAAACTAATTCCATTAATTAGGAGACCTAATATAATCCCCAAATCCATCTCTCATTAGCGAAAGCTACCTACCTAGTTTTGCTGAAGCTCTGCCAGTATAGCACGGTGCTCTTTTTGAGTTTCTTTATCTATATTCGTTGAACACTTCCAATACCTCACCACACCGATTTCACAGCTCGATTAGAGCAGCTCGACTTTATTCGCAGCTTTCGAGCCTTATCTTGTCTTGCTTGCTCTTCTTTAAAGAAATTGCTTGAGCGGCTTTCAAATAAAATATGACCGCAACGGCAGGAGTCTTTCTTAGTGCAATACGTTCAACAACCCTTAAAGCGTGCGGGCGGCCCTAGCGTACCGAAAAGAAAGAAGTAGTCCTATTCGAAAACTAAATTGAAGTCCTAGTAGGTGCGATATTGAAGGCCTTTCCTTCACGGGCTTACTTAGTGCTTGTGCTAAGGAGTTCAGGGCTAAGGGCTGGAGTGTAGGAAGCATTGGCTATCAGAACCCCCGGAGGGAACTAACTCCTTTCTTGCAAAGCTGCTTCATGAGAAAAAAGTTGTCTTTGTATTGGATCCGCTCTTCTGTTAGCATAAACATGAATTAGATTCTATTCGTCTTATTTATTCTTAAGAGAACCCCCCACCCGAACCATTCTTAAGACCACCAAGCTCTCTCGAATGAGTTCTATTTTTTCTGCTTTCGAGATACACTGGGGGATAAATCTCCTCCTAACTAATAAGTGAAACTTTGTGCCTAGATCGTCCTGAAGACGGATGCGACGGGAAGAAGTGGAATTTGGAAGTGTTGCTGACTTAACATTTAGGTTTCGGCATAACAAAGCTTACACTGTCTTTTCGCACTTAGGCGCACAGCATGCCATTGGTAATGATTCTACTACGGTGCCACAAATTCAAAACTGATCCTAAGTAATCGTTGTTGTTCATTAGATTCCGGAGGAACTACTTTGTTAGGATTGGGGAATTGCTGCGATTCTTCCTGAATAGCCTGGATTCTCCCGTCGAGAGTTACTTTGAAAGTATTACCTAAACTCTTCCGACTGAATATGATGAAGCCTATAAAACAACGAGCTACTATCATTTCTTCATTATAGATTGATATCTTATTCGAACTTAATGCACAAATAGATGGAATAGCAGCAAATAGCATCTTTCTAGCTTGCATATGCGTGGAACTCAATCTCATTTAGAAAGGTTCTATCTATCTTTCAGCAACTAAACGGGAAGTGGTTTAGGAAAGGACTTTAGAATAAATCGGATGCGCTCGCCCAGCGATAAAGGCCCCGACCCTGCCCTGCCAACCAAGTAAAAATAAAAAATAAATAAAGAAGAGAACGAAAGGAGAAAAGATAACTTCGTATTTTGGTAATTCTCTAGGAGTCATGTTTAACCTTGAATGCTATTAATAAATTCTATAGCAATAGTCCCTCGGACTCGGAAAGTTATAACGAAAATGGCTAACCCAATAGCTGATTCCGCAGCTGCCACCTTTGAAACCAATGAAGCAAATGATTGACCCATCATATCATCCGAAGAAACGGAAAATACCAAAAAGTTTGAATTAACAGCTAATAACATTGATTCAATTGGCATTGACATAATAGGAATATTTCGTCTATTAAGGAGGATTCCCCGAATACCTAAAATAGAGATGATCATAGAAAATGTAAAATATTTGATAGGATCCGTTTCGGAAACGTGGAATGTAAGAGAAATTCAAATGTTATATATAGTTTGCCATCGAGACTTCACTGCGAGAGAAAGAGGAGAATTTGTTGAAACTCTTGACTTTGTAGACCTAATTCAGTAAGATTCTTCAAAATGGTCAAGAGTTGCTCCAAAGACTCGGAATCATGATGAAGGTGGGTTGCAATGTCTTGAATTATCTTCCCAGGGGGAAGAACAAGAGCATTATGAAAATATATTTGGAGCAACCCCTCTATTTGTTTTTTAATCTCCTCTCGGAGGGTGTCAAAACATAGGTCTCCCAGCCCTACCTTGAGTTAATAAACCAGTTACGAACAGAATAGACAGCATGAGCCCGCCACACAGTCCCAGAAACAGTCGGGACAATGGGCCGCCCGCTGGATCAACCCCTCGCTACAGGCTTGGGCGCACCCGGCGGCCGCCTCATTGGTCGCCACTTTTGCGGACCCTTCCACAAGGGAGGGGGAGGTTTGTTGGGGCGACGCCTGGGGGGTGGCCCCCCTTGTGAACGGACCCCCGTCCCGGGGCGTTTCAAGCACCGCCGGCTGTAGAACCGTGCTTTCTTTTGGAGTAGGGATGGGAAATTCCCCGAATTCGCGCAAGTGTGTCCACACCCCCCAAAATTCATCTTGTTTCACTTCACCGTGTAGACCTTGATCAATAGGGGGTACAACGGGATTACCCGGGTTAGAGCTTGATGCGCCCGAAGACGGCCCAGCTTCTTCCATACAAGAGAAAAAATCTTTGAAGAGGGTTCCATTCACCGCTTTCACGGCGAAAAACAGAACAAGAGCCAGCCTTCCGGAGCAACCTGTCAATTTGAGAAATGGTATAAATATGGCTCGCGTCGTACCGGAGTATCCCACCTTTGAGAGCAAGGCCCAAAAAACTTCACTCTCACCCAAGATGAGACAAAGTAAATAGGAGACACCGACTAAGAGAAGGAATGAGTATAGAAAGTTTTTATTTCTCATGACACTAGGAATAGAAAAATTAGGAGTAATTCAAAGGATAACGAAGCTGGGAAAGCTGCAGTAATTCTTTGGAAAAGCCCGATTATCTTTGTATTCGAGCTTTCATCCCTAAATCCACTGTTTCATTCCTTCATATACCTCCCCACCAATAGATAAAGACAAATGGGAATAACCGAACCACGTCTACAAAATGCCAGTACCATGCAGCTGCTTCAAAGCCAACGTGATGCTCCTTGGTCATCTGACCAAGATATTGGCGAATACCACATATGATCAAGAAAAGAGTACCTATAATCACATGAAAACCATGAAAGCCAGTTGCTAAGAAAAAGGTAGAACCATAAATACTATCCGAAATAGTGAAGGGTGCTTGATAATATTCCATTCCTTGAAAGCCAGTGAATACTAGAGCCAGTGAAACGGTTGCTACTAAAGCGTAAACTGCTCGTTTTTCCTTCCCCGCGAGTATAGCATGATGAGCCCAAGTTACGGCTGCTCCGGATGAAAGGAGAATAGGGGTATTAAGAAATGGGATTTCCCGAGGATCTAAAACCCCAATCCCTTTTGGGGGCCAAATACCCCCGATCTCTACCGTAGGTGCCAAAGAAGAATGAGAAGAAGCCCGAAAAAAAGCAAAAAGGAACATAACCTCCGATACGATGAACGAAATAGAACCATATTGAGGTCCTAATTGTACGACTTTGGTATGATGTCCTTCCAACGTGGATTCACGTAGAACATCGCGCCACCATACAAACATGGTATATAGGATAAATATTAGGCCCAAACTGAGAAGTGTTGCACCCCCTTGAAATGAGTGCATGTACATCACACCTCCTACGGTGGTTGCCAAAGCTCCGAGTGAACCCGAAATAGGCCATGGACTTGGATCTACCAAATGATAAGAATGCCTCTGAGATTCAATCATAAACCACTTTGCCTCGGTTGTATGTAAACCCCCCCTTCACCCCCACCCCCTAAAGTGGTAAAGAAGGGCTCTTTTGGGTCTTCTTATATTTCTATCTGACAGGACAAAGAAATAGGAAGGGATGGTTCTTTCATTGCATTGATAGAAGTCTAACTAGAAAAAGATCTCTCTATAACTTTGAGAAGAGAATCGTTGGTTTGACCGACGAACTACGTGGTAAAATGGACCTTATTTATTTTATGCAAGCATTTTTTGATAGCAGTTATACCCTTTCTATAACAAAATCCAAAGCAAACTTAAAAAAAGGGCTCAGTTCCCTTAGAAAAAGGAGATCAACGAGAATATCCTACAACCCAGCCAAGGTTCCAACCCTTGAGTACAGATGTTCACCAACGGCAGAGAAGGTTAATCCGTCAGGCAATACATAATACTGCCCAAAGCGTTCCTTGAACAGGGTTTCAAGTTGAATCTCTATTTCTATATGTAAAGCATCAAGTGCTAAAGACAGATCAATATTGGGATCAGGTAGACCCAACGCGGGTGGGCGCCCACCTCTAAAAAGGGAATATAAAATAACCGCAGCTATGGGGATCTAAATTAAAAAAAATAAGAACTCTCTATATTTCTGTCCAGAACCAGTTGAGGCATGATTGATTGAGAAACAATGATTCCCTCCGGACTCTCTTTCTGTCCGGAGTCTTAAAGAATTCATTCTATTGAGTTGTGGTTGTTGACCAACAAATTATGCATGGGATAAAGATTCACAAACGAAAACTAACAGAAAGAACGAAGGCCCTTCCAGAGACCTAAAACCTCCATATCAAGAGAAGGAATTGTCCACTGAACACTTTAGAAATGCAGACCAGACAGACAGTTATTTCTGACAGACAGAATCCCCCTCAAGAAAAAGAATCAAAATCGAAGGCCCTCTCACCCGTTCGCCACTTTGTTTTCAACTGTTCCCACCTCCTGGGCGAGACAAGCTACCTTCTTAGGTAAGAGGGGGGGTAGACTGTTAAGTGTATCCCCTCATGACCACTTTCAAACGTCATAGCAAGCCCGGAGCTAATATTCTGGCAAAAGCAATAAATAATGTTCAGCTCATTATTTAGAGCCAACCCGCTATAAGATAGGAAAAATAGAGAAATGAAGCAGGCCACGGGAAAAGAAATTTGCCCCAAAAAGAAACCTATTTTTGCTTCTTCTTCCTTAGTCAGATTTATTCTAGTTCTAGAAGTCTGACTAAAAAAAACAATGGAACAACTCAGAAGGAATATTATAAAAAAAGTAAGAAATAAAACGATATAAGAGTTCTCCGCGATTTGTTTTAATAATAGAGTTTCAGATATGTCGGGAACCGTTTGTGGGGGGGCCTAGTTACCGGGATACAGTCCCTTCACAAAAATTTTATTCCAGGAAGCCCTGAATTCAACTGGCAGCCCTAAAGCGGAATTGTACGCGAATACTGCTTTTAAGATAAAAATATTACCAAGAGCCAGACTTACAGATAAAAAGGATATGAAAGATAAAAACAACAATTATATGAAAAAATGGGCCATATATTAAATAATATATGCATTATCTTGGTGGTCATTACTTTTTGTTTTCTTTATTTTTGGCTGACTCCTCTTCCTGTTCTATTGATCAAAAGAAAGGTTCTAGTTCATACGAACGTCTGTTACGTGCGTACCTAGGACTGGGCCGGATTCGAACCGACCAAGAAAAGGCAAGTGCCATTCTTATAGGCCAAAGAAAGACAGTCCAATCATCTATGTCGAAGGGGCAGGTACGTAGTCACTCGAGCGAAGCGACAGCTTATATCATATAAGAGATTCTCCATCTAGACGGGGCTAGGTAGCACTAATAACTTCATTCGTACTATCTTGGCAAAGAGTGAAGGTTTAATATTTGTTCTAGAAAGTCTTCGTTCCCGTGTCAAAGCCAAATTGTTGAGACCAAGCAAGGAGGCACTACTGTAGAGCTCTTTGGGCCTGCCGCTTTCTCAATCGAAAATGGAAACTGTCAAGATTAGCCTACTGAACGATTCTTTCTATCATTATATATGTAATTTAAGGATTTATTTTCGTTGATCGGATCGCCACACCCAACTTTCCTTACTGACCGCCAACCCAATCTCGATGTTTGAAAGATGTTCTGTTCACATACTCGTTTTCACACATAGGAACAGATAGGCAGGAAAAACTACCCTTTCTAGAAAGAAGGAGCCTTATTATTTATATACATGAGAAACTAGTCCAAGAACCTCCTCAGCTTCACTCAGAACGACTAACTAGGTCGATGCCTACTCCTCTTTCCTCTTAATCTAATCGACTCATCCTTCCGTTCATTCTTATTCTTACTTACCATACGCATTTTTCAATTAAAGATGCCAAGGTAGGTATTTAGGAGGTTTTTGTGGATTAAAAGACTAGCGATCAACCCCCAACTATATATTCCATTATATATATACGATGAAATAAGAGGCGACCTGCCCCAGAAGCTTGCAGAATACTTTATATGGACAATCAGTAGACTGGATGGCGAGGCCAGGTAGATCTCTGTGGGGTCCCCTTCTCCGCTTCAAATGGGAAGGCCAACATCCTTTTGTCGCCCGTTAGCAAGACCGAAACTAGATGCGTCGAGCTGCCTAAGGTATTGACCACCTCCTCTTATTTAAAGGATAAAAAGTTGTACCATAAAGTGCAAACTAGACTCCGCATCTAGATCAAGTTACCTTTCAAACAGCGTATTCTCGGCATCAATGCACCAACCCCTGGCAAGACCCGATCGGAAATAACCCAAGAGGAATTAGAAGAGTGGCTTAAAAGCTCCTTTAAGCCATCAAATTTCCCTTCATTTACACGAGATTAAGATTTATTTTAGGGGATTCCACTAATAGACAGATTGGATAAGAATCTTACTCCCGCACCGGAACTCTTGCTTCTTGGCCAAGAGAGGCTTCTCGCTGTAATCGATTCCTAACATCTGATCGGCGATTGTGAAAAAAGAATATGAGTCCTTTAGCCTTCGGTCAATAGGAGTAATTATTCCCTCTAGTAGTCTTTACTCCTTAGTCTACCGCTATCTTTCATCCCTTAATTGCCTTATCTTTTCTTTTTCTGTTGTAAATGTAAACCGGCCGGCCGTTTGTTAGGATCTTATCGCCGTAACCAGTAATAGGCTTATCTGCCGTTTCATTCGCATTATCGTGAGCGGGTTTGGTGAACTACCCTTTCACTGGTTCTAGCTACTATTGGATTTGAACCAAGAAAGTCTTCCAACTCTGCCTTTTAGGGTAAGATACCCTGGCTTTCAGTTGCAGTACTGGTCATTGGCGACCTTGGGACGCATCTCAAGTGTACTGGGCACCCCCTCTTTGCTTATAGACTCAGCACAGAAAAAGCAAGGCTCTCCTTTGAGATCAGGATGTTCTACCGCTTTTCCCAGGGAAGGCATATACTACTGATAGTAGTCCGCTTTGTGAAAGTCCCATAAAAGCTAACTTCGCGGCAACGACATCCATCCAACGAGATATGCTTCGGGTAACATTCCCCGATCTTAAATTTCGTTAGTGAGCTGGTTCGGTCTATCCCTTCACTTAACCGAAAGCGTACACTCGATAGGGTTTCTTATCAAATGGGTTGGTTTATTAGCGCACTCACGCCAAGTGCTACCGCCTCATCCTGGTGAGGCATCCCAAGCCCCTGTAACATTGGGCTTTTTGCGTCCTTCTGCCCTGGGATAGTTGGGCCGGGCCTGGTAACTGCCGCTTCGATCAAGCGTTAAACTACTACTTATGGCTTCGGTCGATAAAGGTATGGGCCTATGGGTCGGGTTCGTAGTAGCAGACGGACAATTAAAGTACGTGGGGTCTGCTTGGTGAAGCGAAGTAGACGGGTATCCCCTAGATATCAAACGAACTAGCCACTCGTTATTGTAGCAAGGCGCCGTGGGTCTTGCGAGCTTCTGGGCGTATACGAATCTCCTCGATTCCTCTATATGTAAGGAAATAGCTACATCCAAAAGAAAAGGGGCAATGGTCGTCGGACCGCCCAGGACTCTCCCAACAGTCTTTAGCCTTTTTCAGGCTAAGGCTTGAATGGCGCTCTTAGAATGGCTTGTGCTTCAAGAAAACCTACATGGCTGGAAAAAGGGAAAGCTATAGCACCAGTCCAATCCTTCCTTCTGTCTGCCGAAGAGTATGCCTGCCCTGTCCTTCGTTTAATAAAGTAGGCGTCGAGAGTGGGCGCAAGTACTCCATTTAATTAGGTCCCATACTTTCCTGTCCTGAACTCAAACTAAAACGCGAACTCCTGGCTTGACTTTAGCTATAGGGACAGTTTCACCGACCTAAGAGCCAATAAACTAGGGTAGGAATAGGCTTCCTGTTGATTTTATGTCTATTTAATATTCCTGTCATGCAGGTAATAGATCCTGAAAAGTTGTAAGGCCTCCATGTCTTCTATTCTAGGGAATAAGTGGAAGTATTAACTTCTTACGCCGAATTCATCAATAAGCTAGGTATTAAATCATTAGCTGTCGTTACGCCGACAAGTAAGGAAGGATATAGTCAAAACGCTATGCCCCCATGTTAGGACTTTAGTAGCATATGTCCTCTAAGTCTCTTAATCCCGCTCTCTCTTCCACTCTATCGGACTTTGCAAACATTCAACTGAAAGAAGGGATTGGGAGAGGGGATAAAGGGATTAGGCGAAGGGGAAGTTATTGCTAACGATGGTATTCATATCGCTGAGTTGGAACACGAAGCAAGCCAAGCTTTTGGATTAAGTGAAGGCGTGAGGTATCGAACACAAGCTAAGGGTTAATAAAGTGGCTCAGGTATAGAAAGTTACCTACTACAAAGAGTACCATAGCAATGAAGAGATAGAGATCGTCTATGGATAAGGTTGAGCTAAGCGAGGTAGACTTTACAGACTCTGGATGATCCTATGCTTAATACATTCTCCAATTCAAGTGAGATGCCGAAGGCAAAGTACTTTAAGAAGGGAAGAGCTTGGCCTATAATGAGCAAGGGATAGAGATGATGGTATGAATGGATTAATCAACAGAAGTTTAATCCTCGGATTCCCACCTACCCACCTCAGACTTATTCATCATCGTTCTGGTACTGGCTGGCCTAATGCTTTTCCCTCTCCTATCAAGGAATAGGCATAAGTGACTTGCTCAAAGTAGAATGTCATATGAGAAGATAATTTCAGAATCCTCCCGTTGATGCATTGCTTAGCTAATTTAGTCTATGTTCTCATCGCTGCTCTGGTTGAATGGAAGGGAGGTAGGCCTTATTTAGGAGTGTACCGATGTTAACGATGGTGGTGATGGTGACCAACAAAGGCATGCTTTCTTCCCCCAATCGATAGCCTATGGCTTAAATAAGATTCTCAAATCAAATGAGAGAAGAGCCATAGTAAGTGGTCAGCATAGAATGAGCCTTCTTTCTTCCTACCTTTAGCATTACCATTCTCTCATCGATTACTGCAAACTCTACCCTTATCAGTAAACTTCTAGCTAGTGAATCTTACCTACTATTCTATTTTTGTGAAGGGAATGCTCTAGCCTCTCTGCAAACCTGCACAGTCCCGGGTCTCTCAATCTTCCAATCCAGCCTCCTTTCTAGATATAGACCTGAGTGGCCTTTGTCCCTCTTATTAAATTAATTACTAGGCTTGGTCTAGCCAGCTTTCCCTTCAAAGGTAGCTATGGAGGAGGGCTGACGAAGGAAGTAGATAGTGAATTGGAAGTAGGATTACTAAGTACTTCAATAGTAGAGTTATGGCTTTAATCATGTTAGGATCTTGATCTGGAGATAGGTAATAGGAAGAAGGATGTTGATCTGGCTAAAGAATGAATCTTTCATTTTCTAAGGAATAGATAAGAAGGACTAGGGGGGGCCTTATTTAGGTAGGAAGAGGCTGAGGATGAGGCGGTAGACACAAAACGACTCAAAGAATTACATAGAAAAGAACCAGGCCACTGGAGTTGAAATTGGAAAGAAAAGGGCAGTGGGAAAGGATCCAAGAGGAAGTAGGTTTGCGGTGAGCCCCGCCCAGCGGAGACGACCAAGGTCTGGTAGCGCCGGTTCTTTGACATGCCGAGGTGATCCCTTCTGACTAAGTGACGAAAGCTTGAACTCGAGTGAAATCTTGTCTGAGTTCAGAAAGAAGTGGAACGATAAAGCGTACTTTTCATTCCGGGAGGAATCGTTTAGTAGGGTTCAGATTGAACTTGAAATGTAAATGTTTCAGGTAGGGCTAGAGAGTCAAGAAAAACCAAGGTTACTCCTGTGGTTAACCCTGGGCCTGACTAAATAAGGAAATGTTGGGGATGATTCTAACAGGTCTTGCTCTGATCTAACGCGGAAAAGAGGACCAACAGAGACTGCTGCTGTTGGATGTGGATCAGGTTTATAAGAAATAGATTGAAAGTCGGGCGGGAAGTACAAGGTAGAGCTCGACCAGGTACGATACAAAAGGAATTGGTCAAGAGCCGTCTCGTGAAGATTGGTGTCAGAGTTAAGATGAGAGGATTGGGTTCGGTTTCAGTGAGATGTGTTCTCCGTAAGTTTCCGCGTCAAGGAACAGACAAGCACTTAGGTAATAATCTCTTTCTCCGTCAATATAAAATGTGTCATGAAATTTTAGAGGTCATGGAATGTCTTTCTTTCTTAAATCTTAATTTCGCCACTTAATATAATAATTTCTTTGATTATCCTGTCACCGGTTATGTTCGCTGCCTATCTCTTTTTTTATTTGATTGGTTTTAATCCCGACCTAATTATTCTTAAACTAAAAGGTTATTTTATCCTCCACGGGTTACGTGCTATTTTTCGGCTCTTTGGTTTGGAGATTCCCTCGTTCTTGTTAGCTTGCTTGTAAAGGGGCCTGTACAGACTGTTGCAAGACTCTTTCGCCAATCCTACCGGTCCGCTGTGGTTCTTGCACTTATGGCTTCCTGCTGACTTCCCCTCGGTCGGTTGTTTACAAATAGAATAGGGAAGAAGCATCGAATCGAATGCTGCTATTGAATGCGCTGTTGTTGCTGAGTGAATAAGCGGTCTTGTCGTATCCGCTGTGAGCCTATATGCTGTAAGAAAGCTAACTGAATGCGTATCCATCCGCTCAAAGATGAAAATAGTAAAAGTCAAGATCTTATAGAAATTCCAAAAACATCTTTTTTTATTCTCCGATCGGCTCACCAAACACCAACCAAGTCGTAACCATATTACTTTATTTCTAAATGGCAGCATCAGTGTCGGCTAAAGCGGTAAAACCGTCGATCAAATGGGGGCTTACCTAACCTAGTGACAGTTTAACGTAATAAAATAATAAGAATAAGAAAGAAAAATTATAAAGTTCCTTCCGCGTCTGATGATGCATATGCCGTGCCTGATTATGCGTATGCTTGTGCGGCTGTTTCGATTTCACTCGTTGAAGAATGTCTTTACTTTGCAAAACTTGTATCTGGAGGGTTAGGTTACTAAACTAAAAAAAAGTTATAAGTCCCGCCTTAGGGCTTTGAAAAAAGGCTTCGTACCATCAAGAATATATAGATAGATTGACTCGCGGTTAGGTTAGTAGTATGCGACAAGCAGACCAAACGCCTCCCTTGGCCTCCCGGCTGTAAGTCAGCCAGAAAAGAGACTTGCTATTTCCCCACCTAGGATCCCCAATAAAATAGCTTTCATAAAGTTAAATATCAGATTGTTACAGAAGACCAGATCGAGGGATGAAATCTACTCTATCGGACAATCAAAGGCTTAAACCCTGGTCGAAGCGAAGCGCATGCGATGAGGGAAGAGAGAGACCACCAATGCAAGTGGATCGACTTAAGCATCAATTTCGAAGGCGACAACATTAAGCATGAAAATAGAGCCTGCCACGTTTTCTCGTTAATAATGTTACAAGCAACAACGAGAAAATAAGCTCTTGGATGCATGCCCCTATCTCCCACCCATCGTCCTGATCTTGGCTTGAAGTATCCAAGTAGCGCTAAAACGAAAAAGCGAACTATTGGAATTATTGTCTTGGGCTTAGCCCTCTTTTACACCAACTCAATAACAAGCGCCGAACAAGGATGAAAGAAATAACATTACTAATCAAAATTTATTCATTCAACCATTCATATTACGTTACGGCAATCCTACACGCCGTCCGTGCAAGCAGGATACCGCGGTCAATGCTGTAAACAGACCTAGCATCATGCCATCAGAGCTCAATTAAAGCAGGAATCGGCCGGTATCGAGCAGTCGCAATTCCTTGGGCGCTTCGTGGCCCCGTTAGCTGTTAGCTGGCTAATAAAGACTTACGTAAAGAGGCATTCCGAGCCTGGAATGTGGATGAATAAGAAACCTTTTAATATCACCGGATAGCAGAAAGATTTTTTGTTCGCTTGGCTAATATAAGGGAAATGGACGCCTGTTAAGATGGCTTGTAAATATGTCAGAAGATCTCTTTGGCCTGCGGTCGGGAGCTTGAGAGTTATATGCCTTGACCAGTCAGACTGTGGATTATTGGCATCTATCAAATCTTGTCACCCCGCTTCTCTATAAAGGAAAAAAGGGAGGAATCCCGTCCGCCTATACGTATTATTCTGACCAATATGGTCAGATCCTTTTTTGAGAAAAAATCTCCAGACTAGCGTTGCTGACGAGATTGATTAGTTCCGCACTTTGACACCTTAACTGCTTCCCGGTACGGAAATAGCTGCCCCATAGAAGATAGGCTTTATTTAACGTAGCTTACTTTACCGTCAGCTCAATTTGAATAGTTTTTCGCTATGTTCGCAGGCAAGTGAGACGATCCATAAATGCCCTTATCTGCTTCGAAAGAACCGGTGTCATCCAAACATGGTGAAGAGGTGGCAACTGGATCAATAATAGCTGAAACTTCTACTGTACAGGGTTCGGCTTGCCCAACTGTCCAAGCTCAAGGGAGATCTATTTTTTAATATAGAAAGCAGACTCAAGGTGCGAAGTAGCTTTCATCATGAGGAGTCGTAGGGCAAAAGGAGTAGAAAGATCTTAATTCCTACAAAGAGGAAGGGGTCGAATGCTATAGGTAATGCATATGATATGGAGGGAGAAAGCCTTTAGCTTTTCTTCAGTTTTTCTGTGTCGGCTAAATTTCATTTCTACTTGAAGGAACCTCTATTATAATAACCGCCTGCCTAGCAACATCTTTTCTGGGTAAGTGACTCTCAAATTCCGGAGAAAGAGCCCCACCCCAATTCGGATTCGAACCGATGTTGCCTATTTCTTAGGGCTTCAAGAGCGTGACTCTTCTTTAATTATATAAACCATTTTTAAGTCTAGTTTGCCATAAGGCATGCAAGCGAGGCCTATGTGGAAGAAAGAAGTCAAGTTGGACAAAAGAGAGAAAGCACTCGCGGCACACTGACTATATCGACAAATAAAAGTAGTGGTCATGAATATACACCAGCGCTGCCTACGCGGTCTTGGGAAATGGTTGCTTGTCAATCAACATCCGTTTTCCCTTATCGGGAAACATAAATCTTGTCCTGTATTGCGCGGCGGAAGGCTACGCAGTCAGCTGTGGCGTGACTATTACTGGCATTAAACTAGCATATGGGTTTCTGTCCCTTTAGTGCGTCTAACTGGACTTGATGCTCTAGGGACCCAACTAACCCTACTTTTTCCAAGCAATCATAGATCTCATCGGCCTTTGAGACATCGTACGTGAAGTCACGTGGCCGATTGCCAAATTTGCCTGCAGTCCGCTCCATACCAGGCTTGTTTAGCATGGCAGCCTTATTGGGTGGGGCTTTGCGTAGAGCAAGGCAAACAACTGGCTTAGTGATCTTGATCTCCGCCACCATTGCATCAAGTCCGACTTTTCGCAGCAAGCGCTCGTGGCGAGTGACCTTGATAGCCAAGTCACAGAGATCATTGAATTGCTGGAGCGCAGTGTAGTTTTATTCGCTGGGCTCAAGGTTCGTGATCAAGACCGATAACGTGGCTACGAGCTCTTTCCTTACTCAGAAGAGAGCCCAACCCCAAGCGGACACGGTGGCAAGACTTTCTGGTGGGGTTCGACATGGTCCTCGAGTACAAGCCCGGGAGGACCAATCAAGTTGCCGACGCACTAAGTCGAAAGGCCGAGTTTGCATCCAACAAGTTAGAAGAGATAGCAGACATGAGCCAACTCAAAGGGGCCATCCCCGAACGCATAAGAGAGGGGTTGGAAAAGGACCCCGTAGCCCAGACCCTGCTGAAAAACGTGAGAAGCTTCAGTTAGAAGTTCCGCTCGAGTAGAACGGTTGTTGGTGCTCTATTTCATATCCTCATCCTGTTGGTTGGTGAGTTACCTCTTCCCTTCCTTTCCATTTAATCTCTGACAAAACCTACCTTTCAAACAACAAGAGGACCCCTATAAAGCCCCTAGTTGCCATAAGGAAGCTCTTTGTTATGAAGAAGCCACAAATAAATAAGAGGAAAATTAGGGTCTCAAGCATATAGGGGTTGGCTACGGGCGGCACCCTATAGCTATAACATTATGCGTGTGTAGATCCTTGACAACACAGAGGAAGTTGGAATAAAGATGGCATAGCTTTGGCGGTCATCGCAAAGGTGTCCTACCAATATCATTTTTTTAGAGATGAGACAAATGCAGCCGAATTGCTCGTCATATGATGGGTAGCCCCACTGCAACATGGGTGGTATAGTCTTTTCCTTATTGTGTGGAAGATTCAAGTTTGGAATCGCCGCCGAGGTTTCATGGTGTAAGAATGGACTTAATTCACCTGAGAGAGTTGTGCTTTTATTTTTTAAACTTGGGTCAGTGGTGAGAAGGCCGAGAAAGTGGTTAAAACCGTCATCGCATCGGTTGGAACCTCAAGGTGGTATTTTTGTCCTGTGGAAGAGCAAAGATATATCAGTGGATGTCCTTCAGGATGACTCTCAGTTCGTTCATATGAAGGTAGTTCAGGAGAAGAAGAGCGAGTGCTTATTGATTGCTCTCTATGCGAAACCTATGGAGAGTCTGAAAGCCTGGCTCTGGAAGCAAGTTCTTCAGATGTGGGAAGTTTAAAGATTGAAAGAAAAATCATTGATCTTGGGTACCTAGGCTCTCAGTTTACATGGCGAGGCAAAAGTCTCCAGGGTTCAGTCGTGTGTATTAGAGCTTAGATAGAGCTCTGTTTAAGATGGAATGTCATTTTTCCCGGAAGCTGCTGTCCGGAATCTGCCTCCAGTCAAATCCGATCACCACCCTCTTTCTTCTTTTTGACCTGCAAAGTGACCTCAGTCGGCATTCCAGAGACCTTTGTTCTTTGAAGCGGCTTGGTTGACTCATACTCATAAAGAAAGGCTTGCTTATACGTCTTTCTAGCGTACGCGCGCTTCCGCATGTGATATTATCACTGCAAGCAGAAGTAGAGAAGTATATGTGATTGGGGAGGAGGATCAGGTACGAATGAAAGCCAGTGGTGATTCGTGACTATGAACAGCCGTAGAGGGCATCCATTTCTTTCTTCTTATGTTCCTCAGAAAGAGTTACTGAAAAAGTACCTGCTCCATTTCAGTATACCAATAGACATGCGGCCATGGAAAGATGATTCTCAGATAGTGACGGCATGGAAGATCCAGTGCTTGTCCCTTTGCCGAAGTACCTGTACAGTCATTCCGACAAGCTACTATCAATGAGCCATCCCTTAGTCTTAGTCCAATAGCTAACTTGGCTGGAGTAAGCGGAATCGCCAGGAGCGGAAGATGCTCTACTTCCGAGGAAGTAGAAAGACAGAGGAAAGGCAGTGAAGGTTACCCAGGGTTTGCGTAGAGAAAGGATAATGGAAGTGGTAAGGCAACGGGAACACCAAGACAAAAGACCCTTTGGGATGGTTTCAAACCTCGGTTCTCTTTAGTGAAACCTTAGCTCGTGTTATCATAAAAGCGCCAAGTCACTTCATCCAAAAGAAGGTGAATGATAAAAAGAAAAGCTAGTTGACTTCCATTCCAAACTTCAACCTCTATGAGGCTTTGTGGTGCTGGGCTGGAGATAGGGGGTCCTCTTATAATATAATCCGTAGCATTTAAGGCTTAATCACTCCGTATAGACACACCTAGACTACGAAGCTAGGGTAAGGAATCTTCTCACGCAGAAGCAGAAGGAAAGGAATTATTAGCATTGAAGCTGAGGGGCTTAAAAGTACGGTAGTCTACGTTAGTAGTGATTTGCCTGTCGGAGTAAAGAGAATGGCAGGTCTTGAGTGATAGGTCATACCCTTGAGGACCAGATTAACCCTCCTTTTCTATCTTTTTAGTTAAATATCGAACCTTTACTATAAGGATAGTAAATATAGTCAAAGATATCCCCAGTACCTTACGAAAGAAAAACTCTCCATAGTCAAGCTTAGACCTAAGGCAATTCCTTGGAGCGGAGCTAGCATTCACACTGGATTCCCTTCTTTCAAGTGCCAAGGGAAAGGCATAATCTATAGGGAGGGCCAAAAGAGACGTTCTTCTAGCAAATAGAGTTGATTAATATATTATTATTTTAACTATATTTTCATTTAGATGATATTGAGAATTGTCCAGGTAAGTTACCATTAAGACCAAGCGCCTTGCTTGATGGCATCAAGAGGAGTACGATGGAAAGGCCTAAGCTATACGACTTGGCTCCCAAAGAGTATAGGAATTGGAAGCCGTGTTCCCGACACCAAGAGAGATACTTCCCTTGACAACGAAATAATAGCATCCGGGGGGTGGTAAAATCTCTATAGTCCACGTCTGCAAGAACATGAGAATCTATCTCAACGGGAAAGTCTATATCTTCTCGCATTCTAAACTAAATTTACGGTACCAACGACTACGTTCGTATCCTGATCCTACTCTTTCATTCAAACCTAAGATCATGAATCTCCTGAGCCCATTCACAAGAACCTAGGCAAATAGGCCCAAAAGAGGCTTTTTTTCCGGCACACTTGAAATGTCCGTCTTCGAGGGGTTGATACCAATTTTATTGAGAGTGGCAGAATTCCAATTCAAGTTTACGAGGGAAAGGTGCGATTCATCAACAAAGGGATAGGGATAAGGATACGCAGGCGAGAGTGTTTAAAACATCAGTCATTGAATAGGTTACCCGGGATCATTTTCCTAGACGAGCGAGGAGAAGAGCATGACTGCGAGTGGATCCGCTAGCTTCCTTTCCCTGTCTTGTGGCGGGCTAATAACTAATAAATGGAGGAGTCGTTTCCAGGCTATCGAGCGGACCACCATTCTAGTGGGTCATGATGTCCCGTGGGGATAATATCCTAATCTTCATCAGTAAATGGCATAAGTCAATTGTTACGAAAGAATGAAATTTCACTCGATATGTCTTTGACAAAGAAGCCTGCTGTCGTTGACCTTTCCCCGAGCTTGCATATAAGGATATTGAAGTGAATGGACCCTGCTAGATTGCATAGCCAGTGGGAGGGAACCCTACATAGATAGGAAAGCCTAACAAATCAAATAGTTGGGTTTGGGGAAAATCAAGCAGGGGAAGAATTTCCCATAGGAGCAAATCTCTCCTTCTTGATCTCTCTCTGGAACAGATATGCCCGAGGATGAGATCCCCATAGGAGGTGGGTGCTCTAAACGATCGTCATATGTCATATGTTTGAATTAGTAAATCCGCTAAGAAAGCTAGCTTCAGCTGCTGTCGGTATTGTTGCGTATAAATCTTTCCCACTCTGTCTTATACTGACCTTCTAAGACATGCCTTTTTAGGGATTGGTCTTCCCCTAAGACTCGTAGACTAAAGCACTTATTTTGAGAGCGTAGTTAAATACGGCGGAATTATTATTAAGATAAGTAGGAAAGCAAGAGTGAAGATTCGACGTTCACCACAGAACTGAAAGCATAGTCACAAGGGCAAGCGAACCACAGAGACCATTTCACAAGAGCTGAGCTGAAAGAAGAGTTCTTTTTATTACTCTAGGGCCTTTGGAAAAAGAGTAAGAACAGATAGTCATCGCCTTTCCCTTTCGACTGGCATTATCACACCGCCATAAACAAATTAAATAGCTGCTCCTAGCCCGATTCCAAGACCTGGACCTGTTTCAGGTTTGAAAGCAGCGCTTATTCCATTCATTCCATCAACAGCTCAATCGATGGGACTTGCTTTCCTTCCTAAAGGAAGTTACGCGGAGCCGGTAGAAATGACTGACTTAAGATAGAGAGATATCACCCCTAACAGAGTCCATTCTCCGAATAGTAAGACGGTAAAGCCAAAGATCTGATTCACTAGCAAAGTAAAGCAGCAGCCTTGATCAACTATAGGAAAGTACCAGTTTTACACAGTGACAAGGACTTCGCCCGAAAGCATTGATTGAAGGTCTCCTCTTTCTTTTTCATAGCTGCCCGTGAGTTCAGTCGTTAGTTAACATTCGACCTTTCCTGGAAACTTCCGAGAGGAGCGCTTTGTTTTCTTAGCGCCTTTTCTCCCGGTGGTAGTCGAATCCATAGAATTGGCTTAGTAGGATCTCTATTTCCTGTGCAGGTCCGTGCCAGTATGGTAGATAAAGTTAAAATAAGAATTGGAAGAGAAGTTCAAAGAAATTCTTTACCGAAAGAAGGGAATTGCTTTCCTCTTTCCCGACCTTGCTTTCACTAGTTAAACTACCGCAGGTTCTGGATCGATTGGATCAACTACAACTGGGATGAGATGAACAGAAGGGTGTAACACAATCCGCTTCCTAACTGGAAGGCCGGACCGAAAGATTCACTGGTTCAACAAGCTCAATAGCCCCCAGCTTGTTCGTTTTACTCACCGTCAGCCTTACTACTCACTACTTCTTCGATTACCAGCTTTCTCTGACGCCCGTCCCCGCTCCTTTTAGCATGACATTGAGATCTGTCTCCCTTCCTTCTCAATGCGATTCGATCCGGACCTTGATTGACATGCTGCAATTATCTCTTGAGTCACGCTATTTGGCACATAGGCATTCACTTTTGATCTGCCTATACGAACGAGCCATATCATTTGTTCTCTAGTGGGTGCCTCTTCTTCCTCTCTCCCACTGCTACCCAATCAGATGCACCTCTTATGCTTTTACTGGAGATGGAACTGTTGGATCACTTCGAAGACTGAGACCTGTTTGGAAAGGAAGCCCTACCAGCTCCAATTCCTCATCCCAATCTCAGAAGAAAGGTCCAATACCAGCAAGCTATAGGAAATAGCATCGGTGGAAGATACAGCAAGGATTTTCTGAAGACGAATAACACAGTGAGGATGTCCATGCTCAGTTGCTTCTCTGTCAGCTTCTTAACCGTGTGGTGCCTTTCCCTCTCATCCTCTTTTTGGCGTCCGAAGTAAGGGTGTTGCAATCCCTCTACTCGCTGTTTCCTGAAGCTATCATTCTTGTTTTTAGTAAAGGCCTGTTTGATCGTTTCACTCGCTGCCAAGGAATGTTCCAGATCTGCGAACAGAACCGAAGGATACAGTCAAGGCATCTTCAACAAGACTTGTAAACATAATATTGTATCCGGATGAATGACAATCCCTGCTAGCCTTTACTTTCATCCCCGGTTGCAAAGGAAGAATCAGATGCACTTACCTCAGCTCTAGCCCCCGTGTTAAGCATTAAAATACCCGCTTTGTTGAGTTGTAAGAGCTTCCCTAGCCCCGCCCATGCTTCAAGGCCTGTTTTCAAGCTCATCACAAGACTAGGAACAATTTATATTGGATTGAGCGAGAGGACCCCTTTTTTATATCTTCCCCAATTTAGCAGGCAGGATCGAAGGGGGTCGTTCCCTTCTCCTTTTGAGATCTTTCAGAATATCTCCTACATATAGTACCTTATGAGTGACCATTGGGATGATTGTTCCCGTTTCAAGTAGAACCGATTCCCTTTCGCAGCCTCCGTGGGTGCCCGATCAAATCACCTGCTAGACAGGCCTCCAAGCTCGATCTCTATGTTTCTATGAGAGACTTTCCATCCGCTTTACCCGTCTACATTTCCGAAAGGGGTTAAGAAAGAGAGTAATACCTACGTTTCGGATACGCCTAACCCAACCACATGAATAAACTAGGGCACAGGAACCCAACAATTGATCGCTCTCCCGCTTCTTTTAAGGTTGCAGCTCTTTGTCCCGCAGTAAGAGGCAGGAAAGGTGCCTATAGACAGTGAAGTCTCAAGGTAGATGGATGAGTAAGAAAAGGCCGTTGCAGTCTTTGGCGCAGTCAGGATTACCCCGGATTCAGCCGGGTTAGGAGCAGCTGTAGTTTCGGGAAAGGTGTCTCACTGGTTAGCACCTGGGGCTAGGGCTGTTTCAGTAGGTTCGTCACGAGCTACATTCATTCCCTTATCTATCTATAGAAAGAAGAAGTTTCATCTTACACAACGTCCAGACATGGTCGAATATGAGAAAGAAATCCTAGCTTCCATAATAAGGGCACATGGTGAGACTAAGAGGGACTTACTGTTCTTATGAGCGGACTCACTTGATTTTATAGGCTTCCATGTATAAATCAGTCCCTCCCTCCCGTCTCGGTAGCTCGGTGGTAGCTCGGTTGACAGTTCACGTCGTGATCCGTTGATGAGCGTTGGTTCAAATCAAATCCGAGATTTAGAACTCTACAGTTATAGATTAATAAGTAAGTTCTTCGCTTTCTGAATGAATGTCAGATCGGAACTCAAAGGAGAATGTGGTCATAGGATTTGGTCTCAAATAGATAGATTTGAAATGGCTATCAAAGGTATGTAATGGGGCTAGAAGCAATAGGAATCAGACTTGTAGCGAAGAAGACTAGTTAATTTGAATGCCCGACGTTGGCATCTTATGCCGGGATCTCTCCTAATGGCTGTATTAGATTTCGAGTCCCTATTTAAGGAATAATTTCAGGGCATTCCACTTACAGCGACGGAGGGAAGATTAGTTATGAATCACTTACACCATCGTCGGCTTTAAATGCAAATTATGTCGATTAAATGCTCGAATCTTAGTCTCAAACCTGACGATAAGACTTTACAATGATTTGCCTTTATGTTATGTATCCCGGTGCTGTAATGGGCTCCCTCTGAGGATGATTCTAAGAAACCACAACTGCTGTTACTTAACTAGTAGGCTAGAAGCCCTTTCTTTGCTGACTGTCTGTGCGAATCTAATAGCCAAACAACCAGGTTCATGCAACGCGAAATTAATATAAACCCTTCCCGCTCTAACAATGTGTGAGCAGCCATGGCTCTCTCTTTGACGGTAACTTATTGAGATAACTAAAAAAAGGCGTAAAGCCAGCCCTCCCTCCGCATAGGAGAACCTGATTCCAGCCATACTATTATAAAGTCACTTCTATCTTTAGACTTGTTAGGAGTAGACAGGCTTTAGGCATAGGCAACCTAGCTTACTCGTTTTGATAGTTTCCGCTATGACTATGTTATGTATGTAATTACGGTCTTTGTTGGATATTGTTGGAACTAACCGTAGACTTTCTATTATCTTAGTCAACCCATTCATAAGACCACCGCCTACCGCATTCCTGCCCCGGCCTTTTCTTTCGCCCGACACAATTGATTCGTCATGGGGAACCCGGGATTGAGGCTTGCTTGTCTCAATCAATTTGATTGCTTTAACTAGTCATGCTATGGAGAATTCCCAATGAGAGCCAACTGCTTCATGCCCCAGACCGCGGGGATTCGTCATTGTGTGTGGTCATATTTCCTATTCATTGAGTAAAGGGCCGCGTTAGACCCGCAAGGCTTTCATCGGAGCACATCGCTTTCGCTCCTTAGTTTCTCAGTGGAAGAGGACCTTTCTCGATCAACTATCTTACTTGAATGAAAGAAGTCAACTTTCTATACAAATATATCTGAATAGCCGAATAATGGAATTTTTTGCTAGCTTGATAGCCACTCCCCTGAAAAACTGCAAAGAAGACGATTCGCTACTTCCGAATCGCTACATCCAGCTCCTCCAGTCTCCTCGATTGGCCCCCTTCGCCGTTGTGATCCCCTTAGTTCACTATTTTCTTGTATATAGAGTCGAGTGCCTGTCTTTGATTTGGATATTCTCCCGTCTTCCCTGCCGAGCAATCCCTCTCTCTTTACCTGCTACTGTGCTCAGGCTTCCCTTCTAACAGCAAACAAATAGGCCAGACCAAGCGCTCGAAAGCAAGTAAAGACTCCGCTCAGGTGAACAGAAAGAAGAAAGAATCAAAAGAAGAAGGAAGGCATAGAAAGAAAGGCGCTTCCGACGGTTCGTGACTCATTCGGTACGGTTTTTTTTACAAGGGGCGCCTAAGATGCATGCTTGCCTGGACGATTGGAATCTGTATTCGAGACTTCGATTTCCACCCTCCTAAAGAAGGAATGGAAGCTTGAGCATGGATTAGACGGACGTACACCGTGAAGCTTGACCCCTAAGATTATCGTAACCATAGCAAGGAGAAGGAAGCTTTTGAATAGTTAAGATGCCTAAATAAACGGACACTTTTTGTTATCTTATCTAAAGGCGAAGACTAAAGGAAGCGGATATAGCAGGAGACCAACCAGTGCCAATAAATTGGAAACGTACGCAAGAGGTGGAATCTGAACATTTTAGGGACATGAGTCACGGTAGGCCTACCGTGACTCATGTCAATCGGGGAAGGTTTTTGAAGGTTCCCAGACTACTCCTACGCGACTGGCAGTAGGGAGGAGGTGGTGAGATAGAGCCCATTGGGACGCGGAATACCCGGAGACTTGCTGAAAGGACAAAGAACTTCCAGTAGCGGCTATTAGACCTTACTTGCCCAATCACAAGTCCTACTAAGAGGTGAACTGACCGAGCCGTCAGGTTTGAGGGTAGAAAGGACACTGCGAGGAGATAGATGGAGACATGAGACTGATTTCTTAAAAAAGAAGAAGATTTATTTATGGTAAGAATATAGCCCCTAGTACGACAAACAGGCAGACAGCTAGACTTTTGATTAGAGGTTAAAGGGAGAACTGCGAGGAGAATCGAGATTGGCGCTTAGAACGCAATGTTAGGGCTATTTGTACAGACAGACATAGGGGTAGATTGCTTGTACGAGGATAAATAAAGGAATATAATTGTTATGGCGTTAGGAACGAGTCCACACTTGGTTCCGAACAAATGACTAGAATTCGTTGAGCCAGTGGCGGAAGGATAAGGGAGAAGAGCAATAAGCTGCTTGAATCTTAGAAAGAGGAGATCCCTGGTGAGGACACAATTAAGACCAGACAGCCGGATCAGAGAGATATGCACCTTGAATTTGGAAACCCTCGAAAAAGTGGTTAGAACAGATGCTTTCCCCACCTAGGACTTAGACCGGGCATTTCAGTGCTTGGTAGTAACGCATACCAGGACGAGAGGTTATGGCCCCTTTTGGATAGTGGAAAAATTGTACCGAACGAGACCTGCTGACGTTGTTTATTTTGGGTGAACTTAAACTTAACTTTTAATTAGCTCAATCAAAATGCCTATCTACGCAGAGAGCATGCCCCCCTTCAAGACTTAAGACAAGGGAAAGAAAGAGAGGACAGATGCCGACACACTTTTTTGAAATGAGCTAAGGATGCCTAACGAGCAAACGAGGAAATGCAGTAGCGGAAAGGAATGGACCACTAATGGACAATGGTCCCGCGAACGAGACCCGAATACTGACTGCGCAGGCGAAAAGAACCCCGTGACTAAGACTGACTTGACGAAGCTAGACTTTGGCCCATTGACAAGAACGGAAATAACCAATAAACTGTAACAGATTGCAGCATGGGGAAGGAAGTAGAAAATAGAAGCGACTGTTTGAAGTTTGCCGGCTTAAGGCTGAAGATAAAGTATATATCCATTTCATGACTTTTGATTAGAGTAGGTTTAGGAGAGGACTAGGAGACTGAGATGCCTTTGAGGAGGGTTTAGGGAGATGAGAAGGCCGCGAGGACGTCAGGCGAAAGGTAATTTTTCTAAGTGAGGTAGCCTGCCCCATATCCTCGCTGCGTGGGCGTCCTTGTAGAAAGGAACTCAACTCAAAACGAACCGAAAACAACTGCTTAATGCTTTGGCCGCTGAAGAGGAAGAACAAGAGTCTGGTTGCGCTTTGGGGCTACTTCCCCTACCACTGTTAAATAGCATCCTCCTCCCTTAATAGTAAGCAAGCTGGCTTCTCCCAATAGAATGCCTTAACTGATGAGTGACGAAGGTAGCTAACCTCCATCGCATTATCCAAGAAGCCCTCTTTTCCGAGTCTGGAAAGCAGCTAATTGAAAAGGATGAGCTAGTTAATTTAATTAGCCAAGAAAGACTAAGAAGAATGACGGATTTTGAATTCTCGGACTAAACCCCGTAATCTTCCTGCCTCTGGTCGAGCTAATCGACGGTAGAGAGCAGAAGAAGAAGCGAAGCTACAGCAGTCCCATTCCTTCTTATCTACGTAAGACATAGAAGAGAGTTCAGCTAGCTTTCCGTAACGGGCTACTAACTACGACTTTGCTTCCGCAGCACGTCGAAGGTCTTCGTCAGGTGTCGGAATCACATTTTGATTGTGGTCTATGAACTCAATACCAGATAAAGAAGAAGCAGCTAACAACTGAAAGAATAGAGGGAAGGTAGCATTTCACACTTCTCTCTTCGTCATTCTAAAGCAAGGAATGAAGTAGCCCGTATAGCAAGAAGGAAGGGTATAGGAAATGCAATGAACTTCATCGTAATAGATAGATAATAATTTAATCCGTCGAACTCGTATATTTAGAGTGACCCCTCTATGCCTACTCTACTAATGACGGCATCTAATTAATAATATCGTCATAAATAGTAGGCACGATGCCAATTCCACTCCATTATGAGCTTTCCTAATTCTCCCAGTTGTGCCTCATTCTCCTAGGAATTCTAATGACGGCTACGATACAAAGGAAGCCGAAGAAGAGCTAGCAACTGTCATACTATAATAAAGGCAGTCGCAGCTAGATCCAGGTTAATCTAACTCATGTGCTATTAACTCAATTCTTAAATCATAGGTAGCTACTTCCTTCCAACTTAAGGCATCTGACGCTCAATTATTATTGTTGTTGTCAAGTCTTGGACTCTGTTAAAATAGGAATCTGTAAAGTGTTCCATCAACTAAATACCCTGCTGCTTCTCAATTCCTGATTAAAGAAGTGCCAGAGGAATTTGGATTAAAGAAAGTCTCGTAGGAAAGGGAGCCAATGATAGATGCTTTGAAATAGCGTAATAGAAAGAAAGATTATCTCAATATCAAGGCAAGTCGGAGGCGAGTAATTGAATAAATCCCTTCCATGGATTTTTCGGAAGAGTCACTCGCCAGAACAGGGGAAGGGAATTCGGAACTCAATCACCAAGTGGACCTTCCCATTGTCTATGCCTGCAACAAAGGAAGAGGTGAGCTACCAACTCGTCACCTCCCCTCTCGTTCCACTTCTGTCTGTTCTTTCATTGTAAAGTGTCGGACTCTGGTCTTTTTGGAACATGAAAGTGTTCCGTGAGTGAGATTTCCCCTCTCTTCTTTAATCTTTTCTTCCCAAAGCTCACTAATTTAGTGATAGAGGCTCTAATGCTGCTAGCGACGGGTAGGTACTAGGAAGAGTTGACGGTATTAAATTTATCGACCTATAGCGAAAAAATAATAAGAGAAGAAAGCTGCTAGCAGAGGGTGGAGAAGTCGTCTGGTTATCAAAATTATGTATAGAAAGAAGATTCGTCTTGCCGGTAAATGCTTTAGACTGAACCTTGTTCTCTATCCGCTAGCACACAGACAATAACTAGGAAAAATTTATGGCAAAGTAAGTGTGCATCGAAGGTAAATAAACCCGAGTCATAACATTTCTACTAGTGCTTAGGTGGGCTCATTCCGAATTAAAAAAAAGTGCTTAGTTTCGTTGGAAAAACCAACGCAAATATTGACTTTCAAGTCTCTCTTTGGGGGGGAGCAGAGCACGTTGACAGAGGTTCATATGAGGCGTGAAGGTGCGTTGGCTCTCTATGGGAATACTACATTAAGTGATCTTAAATTTATGCTTTCCGAAACGGAAATGTATTTAGATAGTCTGTCAAGTACCTCTTCCACTAGGTCAGACGCTGGAAGCGCCCCGACTGACCCGGTGGAGATACTTGATAAAATATCTACTGAATCTTCGAAGTGGGTCGATCTTAGTGGTCGGCAATTACCTCCTGAATGGAGTATGCCTGACCTTGTTCGGGCGGTAATAGCCGACGATCGTATTTACAATGAGGGCTTTCTTACATTTTGGTATTACGATATGATGTTACAGGGACAGGATGCTTGGTTATGCGAAGAAATTTTAACATTTTTAGACCTCATTAATTATGTCTTCTAGAAATGTTAAATTTTCTTTTTCCATGCTTTTTCTTTGGTCAACAACCAAGCACAGCTCTCTATAGTTATTCACTACTCCGTGCAGGAAAGACTATCTTTCTGTCTGGAGGGAAGGCTTTTTGGACTAAGGGTACCATGATACTTTCTGTTTTGTCGAGCCCCGCTTTGGTCTCTGGTTTGATGGTTGCACGTGCAAAAAATCCGGTACATTCCGTTTTGTTTCCCATCCCAGTCTTTCGCGACACTTCAGGTTTACTTATTTTGTTAGGTCTCGACTTCTCCGCTATGATCTTCCCAGTAGTTCATATAGGAGCTATAGCCGTTTCATTCCTATTCGTTGTTATGATGTTCCATATTCAAATAGCGGAGATTCACGAAGAAGTATTGCGCTATTTACCAGTGAGTGGTATTATTGGACTGATCCTTTGGTGGGAAATGTTCTTCATTTTAGATAATGAAACCATTCCATTACTACCAACCCAAAGAAATACGACCTCTCTTAGATATACGGTTTATGCCGGAAAGGTACGAAGTTGGACTAATTTGGAAACATTGGGCAATTTACTTTATACCTACTATTTCGTCTGGTTTTTGGTTTCGAGTCTCATTTTATTAGTTGCCATGATTGGGGCTATAGTACTTACTATGCATAGGACTACTCAGGTAAAAAGACAGGATGTTTTCCGACGAAATGCTATTGATTTTAGGAGGACTATAATGAGGAGGACGACAGACCTACTCACGATCGACTAAAAGGAAAGTCGCCCGGAGATATTGGTTCAAATCCAATTCGTGAGATGGCAGTGATCTATAATAGGAATAATTCTTCTGCAGCTGATCCAGCGGTAAAAGATTATCTTTCAACCGAGGGGAGGGGCATTAGTCAATCAATGAAAAGGAATAAGTTGTTTAGTTCAAGAAGTAGTTTGGCTTCCCTTCCCGAATGTTGGTTTGGAGTTGACCCAGTAGCAGGAGTTGAACACAGCAGATCAATATCCGCTGCTACATCTGCTGAAAGATCTGTTGCCAGTTCTGATCGATGGGGATAGGCATGAAGGCCAATCATTCCGGTTATCTGAGTTTCCCTCGAAAATGCCGGAGATGTTCTCAGATGCTCTTAGATCGGGGGTTTAGGTGGCATATCATAAGGAGTAGCCAGTTTCGATAAAACCGAAGCTAAGGAGAAAGATAACTACTCGACTAAGAAGTAAGTGTTGGAGGGGGACTAATCCCTCTCTTCTAGCCAATACCAGGGAAAGACTTTCTAACCAATTCAATTAATAAGCTAAAGATAAGTTACAGAAGTACGGAAGTGACAGAGAAGTCAACCTTATTTGCCAAGGGACTAAACTATCTGCTCTATCTGATACTGAACTAGATGCCGCAAAAGCACCAACTCTGGCTCAAGAAAAGAAGGGGTATCCATGAGATGAGTTCCCGTAAGTCGTAACGTTGAGTTACGGATGTGCTCCCATCTCTTTCTTTAGGGGCGGTGGAAGCTCGAATAGGAAGGTTTGGAGGGAAAGATAATAATAGATCGACTTAGAGCGGTCAACTTATTCTCTGGTTTCAAGATCAAGAGTGTTACGCAAACAAAGAAGGGATATACACTTGGGTACGAGACCGACTAAACGGATTGGAAATGCAGCTCAGTCAAGAAAGAGATTCGGGTTAGGCGGAAATGGCATATCCAGGGCACGGCGCAGAGGATGTTCCGGTATTGTAAGATAGGAACGGGAGTGAAAGAATGCATTGGAGTAAGTTACAATTGACATTGAAGAAGAACTTGAAGACTAGGCGCCAAAGACAAGGGCTCTTTCTCTAGTAGTGGACTAATCTTGATATTCCTAAAGCAGTAAGCGAAAGAAGAGGTTAGAACCAGCTCCACCGGCTAAAGGGACATGGACTCTTCAGAAGGCTCAGGTTTAATAACAGAATCTGAATAAGTAGCTTTAGGTATAGGGATTCCGGTTCTAACTAAACAATAAGGTAATGGGGTAGACCAATTCAACAAGATTCGAAGATTCTCTAGGTAGAGGTTTGAAGAGACTGAGCCAAGTAAAGATAAATTGTCCGGGCCAAGAAAGCAAGCCAAGCCGGGAAGGCATAGAGTCTCCCCCAAGATGAAAGGGGATTGGTGGCATCGGTGCCCTTCATTCATTGGATATAACCCTCAAGCTCTAACCCAAAGTTATGCCTTCGACCTTGAACGACGAGACAACAAACAAAGGACATTTAACCGAATAGCACTAGACCAATAGACCCAAGCAGAGCTAAAGAGCTGGCTAAATACAGATCGGTACAAGTCCTACAAGTAGCCCTTTCTAGCTCCAATGCGGATAACGAAAAGAGAACAAGGACTAATAGACCAGTAGACCAATAGGCCAAGTTACACGGCTAAAAGGAAAGCGCTCGGCTCGCTCCAAGCATTCCGCTCTATAGTTATCTTGAATACTTCCACCTATCAGCCTGTGACCCTCCTCTCGTATTAAGAATAAGAAGTAGAGCTCAATCCCATCTTCTAAGTCGAGTGACTCCGCTCCGTTCTAGTGATGTTTAGCCGCGATAGATATGTAGCTCGGGGCCTTCTTGCAGGTCTTATCGTACCAATTGCTCTCAATCCCGTAATGCCCCTGTTATAGAAGCCTTTTAATTTCAAGTGCGGGCTAGCCTATTCCCATTGGCTTTCAAGCGTTTTATTTTAGTACCCTAACGATAAGCTAGGACCAAACTAAACTGACCCACGCACGCCCCTGAGTCTTAGGCCCTTTCATTAGAAAGAAAGCCTGTAAGGGAAAGGCCCAGCCCACAAAAGCTCAGTTTCAATTGAGTCTAAGTGAATACACTACGCTATATAGTTCGGGATAATAAAGCATCTTACCAGCGTTAGGAGGAAAGAGTTGTGAAAGAAGAAAGTTGTACATGAAGGTACGGTATCCGCAGTTGGTGTTATAGAAGTGGCGGTCTTGAATAAGCAAGCGGTGCTATTTCTGTTACAGTAAGAGCTGTTGAGTAAATAGAATCTCTGGTCCTATCCTGTTGATGACGAATAAGAGTTTTTGCTATAGCCTTCATGTGCTGATACCAACTAGTATCATATAGTTGAGTGAAAGCTAGATATGCCTTGCATTCCGGAAGTTCTCGCTTACCGAGCCACGCGAAGAGTACCAGACCGGTGCTTGTACGTCTGCCCATTCCAGGGTCGATAGAGTCTACGAACGAAGTGAACTAAGTCAAATGAATTGTTTTTCGAGACCAAGAGTGAGTCGTAGATAGAAAGACCTCTCCTATCCGCTTTGTCGGGTGCGCTCTCTCTTCTGTCTCTTATTGGCTGGCGGCGGATCGAGGGGAGTGATAAGACATACAAGCATACCGAGGTCTTAGCAACTCTATCAAGTAAGAAGATCCTTACAGGTGATAAGATAACCTCAACATCAACAGGCTAATCTAGACTGAAAGGAGAAGCGGAGAGAACTGGGCACTCTCTAATGTCAGGGAGTTTCAAGTTAAAGAAGCGGAGCTTTAGCGAGGCCTCGCCGATTGATAAGAAAAAGACTATTAAACAAACCTGCCTGGCCTTTCTTCCAATCCCTTCTAGGGACCTTTCAAAGAAGTTTCAGTTAAAGATACAGTAAGCGTTGCAGTAAGCCAAGAAGTCAGTCCCAGTAGATAGAGTCAGGGAAGGGTATGGGTAAGGCAAGTTAAAACCATTGAGTCATTCCCCCGCCTTGTATCTGTAAGCCATTGAGTCTAGCTCCTAGAGAACGGGTCAGAAGGAAAAAAAAGTAAGAAGTAGTGTCAATCGGCGGCTTTCCCTCCGGCGTTAAAGACGAAGCGCAGAAATTATTTGATTCGTTCGAGCGACGACCACTAACAAAGAGCCGCTTTCAGTTAGTAACCGGGGTAAATCACATCACATTTAAGGCTTCTTACACGTATTGTATGTGCCTCTATTAAAGAATAAGCCTGTATACTACGAGATTAGGATTAGGAAGAAAAACCTTGCTTTTGGCAGATTGCTTACTACTAGACTAGGTTGGATCTACTTCTCAGTCTCATCTATAGAGAATAGGAGAAGCATTCGAGTTCTCGCTTTTCTGCCCTAGCAATCTCGCGTGAGTGAAGAAATCGTAACCTATATATACTACCGATATCTCTCGTCAAACTTCAACGGGAATCGATTCTATGATTTACTTAGATTTAGATTCCCTGACCTGCTCTGAAAGAACTCTCCTTTTTGGATGTATACTATGGGTTTCGACTTGGCAACTATCGGAAATCCGCTCCAGATTATTCTATCGAACAAGGGCAAGGATCGTCTTTAGGGCCCGCGATAAAGAAGAAAGAGGTTTAAAAGTTAATTGCTACTTGATTACCACCTCGTCTATGAAATCTAATTTTTTCTCTGTGTGGCTACAGTAAGAAAGAATTCCTATGCGTCCGCAGCTAATGAATCTGATGGATGCCATTTCTTTTGTTCTGTTGTAATGCTAGCGAAAGGCTTTAAACGAATCCCTGACTTAAAGGGAATGGGAATAAACAACTGGCTTTCTTCTCCTAGTGCAATCAGTTCTGGCACAAGACAATCCTGATTCAATTCCCGAAAACCTGACACCAGCTGTTTCTTCTGGGCATGTCCCTGAGACTGAGATGAGTGCCAGACTTCCTTCCTGAACTAGATTAAAGACGCTTTCTAGTGGCCTAAGCTCCAACCAAGTTAGGGACCCCTACCACCGGCTGAAAGTGCCCCGGGCTAGGTGTGTATGATAAGTAAGTAATGCCGAGTTTCAAGTGGATACAGCTCTTTGCCATTAGAGCACTCTTGTGGAAGAGATTGTTGGAAGAATGTCAGGTCGTAGAAGATACAACTGATCTTATATTGATATTGATCTTTTACGAATGGATCCCGGTTGTTCTAGTAGGTGCGTACTTTTTGTTTTTTTTATTGTTCTTGTTCCTTTCATTTTTATTATCGGGTGTCTTGAACAGTTCACACTCCTTCAATGGAAGAAGAAGGCGATGCAGCGCGCTTAGCTACTGCCTATAAGCAACCATAAGCTTTGACTTAGATAATTTGAAGCTCGAAGTAATATCTTTTCGGGAAGGGGATCGAGCAGCTTCTAGAAACTATACGAGAAAGCAAAGTGAAATCTCTACTATTACTTGGAAACCACTTTCTATAAGATTTATCTTCTCTTCTTTAATAAGGCTGATTTCCGCATCTATCCTAGCAGCAACAGAAAGGAAGTGAAGAAAGAAAAACTGACTGGACCATCGGGAAAGGGTGATCGATCATAAGGAAGGCCTACGTCTTCATCTCTTGCTTCCAAGTGAGAGTCAGGAGGAAGAAAAAGACCAAGCAAGGGTTAAGATTCGTTCTCACGGAGAATTAGGGAGAAGAAAGAAGACCGTAGGACTCTGAAGTCAGGGATATGAGGCTCGGTCTACAGGCCTTACGTCAAAGCCCAAGAACAGATGGGAAGTGCACCAATGCTCGGATATTAATTGGAACCCCCTCTGAAATTCGGTTAATACTAAAATATATTCCCAATCCCATTCAAAAATCTACGCTACGGGTCAGGGACGCTAACCATATGAGGAGCCCTACTACTAGGACTTGTTCAAGCAACAAGTTGGTATGGCCCATTTCATACCTAATCCCATGGACATATCTGATCATTGAATGAGGGCCCTCCACAGGGATAGATACCTGAGTTAGGTATCAGTCCCACCTACCGATCATTAGTACAACGACCTGTCATATCATATACCCCAGACGGCCTGATCAGATGTTTCGGTACCAATGCAGTCAGTCTAATGCATTCTGGACTGGATATGGCCCACCTATCTTTCGAGGTCACTAGTTTACACTTTAACCAACCTTTCCCATATCCGTTTTTTATGAGCAAGGGATAAAGGCCAGACAGTAATCAAGCTACTTACAATTGGATAATACCCCTTCCATCGGAGGATATACTGGGTGGAGAGTGACAAATATGAGAAAAGCCTACTTACTAGCCTCCGTGATAGGATACCACTTAGGTAGATGCTAGGGATTGGTGAGTTAGGGCAGCGGGGGATGGTGTGACATGTCTGGTCATCGCATCGATGAGAACGATGGCCGATGATATCCGAGGAGATTAGGCACCGTCGGCTTTTTTACCTCAAAGTAAACTCGTGCTTTTCGTCGTCCTTCCCTATCTAGAGCTGGAACTTGACTAGAAAAATACATTTTTTCCCATACTGACTGACTTGTCTTCCTGTTGGTGGTTGTGAAAGTTCAGATTTCGAGCTTAAACAGCGGATAACCTTATCTTTATGGGGGAGTCTTTCAGGATCGATTCAAAGGGCCAGTGAAAGTACGCGGACGGAGAAATCCAACAAAACCACACCGTATCGGGCCAGTAGACCTTCTTTATCTTAAAGGCTGTCTCCTGCCCCCAACTAGCGAGCGGCTATAACCGATGGGTGCATGGCGACCACTACTCTACCCGAAAACTCGGGTTAAGTGGGGAACCTTCTCATCATGTTAAGCTTGCGAGCCTGTCTGTAATAGGCCCAAGCGTCTCTTGTGCTTAATATCGAGTCTATTCCAGTGAGAAGCTTCGCAATACCCTAACACTCCATAGGCGAAAGAAATCAATAAGGATAGATATATAGATTACGCACATAGTTGTCTGGGCATTGATTTCATGTAGTGCGTACCACTGGCGGAAAGTGATTTGCTTAACACACTTGTTCGCTTGAATACAGTAGGTAGGGAAGGACAGGATATTACTCGTCGGTTCTATTCGGTGGTGGTGGCTTTGCTTTGAATTTCTTTCCACTCATTTTGGCTTTTTCCTTTTATTATTCATGCTTGCTCCACTAGCCTCAAACTCCATTCCCATTTCGAATCGACCCGTTAGATTAGAGAAGGCTTTTCTGCTTAGCAGAACCCGATTCTCCGCTCAAAACATCTGATCTTTCGACTTAAACAACCGATTCCATTTCTATCCTTTTTTTCTATGATCAATTCAATAAAGACTTCCTTCTCAACTGACAACCCCTGGGCCTGTTCATAAGCGATATTCTTTGTAGGGCTTTCGGCTCGGCTGCCTTCCTTTATTTTTGGGCTAAGGCTAGCTTTCCTAAGTAAGTTCCAGAGTGCATGAGTGAATCTTGATCTGTATTCAAGGTATGCCCTTTCCAGTTCTGTTATAATATTGACTTCGGTTAAGCTGAGGTTAGCGAAGTCAATCCTTTGCTTGGGTCCTTGGAGGTCGGAGATCAGAGCGATGTGTTTAAGTCGTCTGGCCGTAAGAAAGACTTTATCTGCGCCAGTAAGAGTAAGAGCTTGAGA